TTATTATTTTCACTTCTTAAATGACGAATCAGAGCTTCGTATTTTGGCAAACAATTTTCTTCATGGATGTCCTCACTGATACTCTTACCCTTGGTCACTTTTGGTTCAAACTCAACAGGATAATTTGTTTTCAAACTGGGTTGTCTTTTCAATTCAAACTCCAATACTCCATGATATAGAAGAAGTTGGACTCGACGTTTGAAGGTGGAACAATTCTCAATAGAATGTCCTTGAATCCCAGCATGATATTCACGACGAACGTGGACGTCATACCAACTTGGATATGGAGGTTGCAAAGGTTTCACATAATGCGGTGCCACTTCTTGGGCTTCTAACAGTTCATCATACAATTCCTTATATGATATTGGGATGGAATCACAACAAGATCCACCTCTCAACTTGGGTTGAATTGGAGTTTTTAGTTTTATTTCCCCTGATGTTGGGAATAGACTATCAAACACCAACGAGTTTGGACTGCATGTCTTCTTTTCATCCTTCTGAACTTCTATAGTTGCCACTATTTCCTTGGCATTTCCAAACAACTTGTTGATACGAACAATGATTGTGCGTGATTTCTCATACTGACTAGAATCAACAGGTTCTAAAGTAGTCCCTTGCGTATCTGACACCTCGAGATTGTTTTCATTGAGTTCTTTCTTTTCTTTTGTAGAAATTTCTCTTCCTTTGGACAAAACATCTATTCTATTCATCATCTTGGACATTTTCTCTTTTATCTCTCTTATCTCATTGTGTTCTTCATCAGACATATGATCTTTATGTGCGCAACTCTCTATTATTTTCGAAGCTTTCTCAGGATGCCATTTCTCGACTGTGTTATAGTCTGTTTGATCACGAAACCCCTTGTTCGTCATGAAAACCTTTTACTATGATGAACACTCACAAATCAACACCTTTTGAATATGTCATGATCATGCAATGCGAACAAAGAAAAAAAACAACATAGAAACAAGTTAGTACAAATGAGATAACAAAATGACAAAAAGCAACAATAACAAAATAAATAAATTAATGCTAATAAGAATGCAAATGCACAAGGTTTTAATTCCAAAAGTGACCACCATAGAACAACCTTCATTTAGACAACAAGAATTCAGTACACCATGTAGTCAAAATATAAATGTGATTCTTCATTTCTTTATTCCCTTGAACCGTACTCTTCATGGAATCTAATATTGCGCCCAAAGTTGTCGGCGTACTTTATCACCTTTAATGACACCAGATGTCTTTAAATTGAATCTTGAGGTCTCTATTTTTACTTTCAATACGAAGTGGTCTCATGTCTTTGTGAAGGGTCTTCTTGTCCTTGGTATAATTGTATCTATCTTCTGAGAATATCATGACCTTCACTCTTTTAAAGGAAGTCTTCAATCAGCTTCATATTTCTTCATTCATCGGATGTCTTTCTTCATGGATCATCTGAATATCTTTGAACCTCCTGATTTTGACTACATGGTTGAGAATTTCTTGTCTCAATATGTCCAGCCTTCTTATTAGTCAATCACTTGCGAATTAACACCTTGTGATGTCATGAAGATGCAAATGCAATAAAATCAAATAAAATAGACATATAACAAAATGGGTTAGCACACATAAAATCAGCAAACAAAATAATAAATATCATAACCATTAAATAAAATCTACCCTTACATACTGGCTACCCAATCATGCTTTAGTAGATCCTACCCAACATGATATCTACCCCATGCTTTGTTATTCACAAAAATCTTAACCGCATGATATCTAGTTCGCATGCATTTATTCGAAAAACGAAAAATAAATTACTCAAAAAAGCTTTTCCTTGTGTACCCTCCTCACAGGATTCTTAAGGTTAGGGTTTGGCTCAACCTAAGTTCAAGCTCTATGTTCACTATATGCTGGGTTCGGTCATAAAGTAATAGGTTCTCGAATTGTCCTTGCCGGTGCCCCCTTGGGCTGCCAAACCCTCAATCCTAGCCCATCACAGGCTTTAGGGGATCGAGTTCAATTTCGAGGGAACACACCTCCTTATGTCCATGCGGAGGTGATTACCATCACGAGGACCATAAGGCGTGAGCTCCAGGAGCGATCCACTATCCCATGCGGAGGTGAAAACCACACGAGGGCATAGTCTCTCACTCCTACTTAATTAGGACAGAGCGGGGTTTTAGCTCATGTTATGATAATACAGCTGTGCAGTGTGTGAGGAAAAGCGAAAAAACAATCAATAAAAACACTCAAAATCAATTCCCAAAACACACAATTATTCTGAAATCATTAGCAAACAGATCAGTACAACTATTTAATTATCAATCGAATTAAATTAAAGAAATCAAAATACAAACAAATATTATTAAAAACCAAACAATGGATCAAAAATCAAATTAAATCGAATTTATAATTTTCAATTGCAAAGACAATTAATTAATCGACTATCGGCCTGACTCTCTAAAAAAAATCCCCAGCGGAGTCGCCAAGCTGTCGAAACGATTTTTTCTTAAAAGGTGAAAAGGTGAGATTTTAAAAACCACATTAATTTTTAATTTATCTCTTTCAACTGATTTTTAATTTAAAAACAAATGCAATTTAAAAAACCTCTCGTTTCAAAAAAATTTAGATTTCCTTTGTGATAAAAAAACGGTTCGAAGAGTCGCCACCAATCCTTGATTAGGGTGTGATTGGACACCCAAAAATGTTTTATAAAAATTACTTTTAATTAAAACAACAAATTGAGGTCTGCGTTACCAAAAAATAAGTTCGGGAATCGGTTACGTGTGGGGAAGGATTAGCACCCCCACAACGCCCTAAATCGGTACCTAGTCGATTAATTAATGTCTTTGCAATGAACTTTAGAAATTCGAACTTAATTTGACTTTTTATCCCATAAAACAAAGATGTAAATTTGAAAACATTCAAAAGCACTCAAATAAATTAAATTAAAATTACCAAGTCATTTTAGAAAGAAAAAGAATGTTCGATTATTTACAAATATCGAGACCAGATCTTAAAAGCTATAACAACCTTTTCTCGATAAATTTAAATAGACGAACATTTCTTTTTCTTCCATTCCCAAATTTTAAAGTGATGGATCAATTTTTAGGCGTCACTAATGGGATACACTTTTATTTTAAAATCATTAAAAGCGGACCTCAAATCAGTTATGACTGCCCACTTAAAACAATTTTAAATTAAAAGTATATTACCCTTAATCCAATTATGTAATATATCGAGTTATGCAAATAAGGATATCATACAACTTGTGTAAAAAAGTATGTCATGCCAAAAATTAATTAAACAAAATTAAAAATAGCATACAACGTGACATACAAAAAATTATATACATATATTTACAATTAAAAACTATAACCATGTCTATTAACTTATAATGTACAAATGTAACTCAAATATAAAAAAATGAAAACATGATATGCTAAACTATAAATTTAAAAAATATATACATATTAAAATAATGAGTAAATTTAAATATATGCAAAATTAAGCATGTAAAATTCGAAATAAACCAATGACCTAAATGCACATTCATTGCAAATTTGGGAGGACTAAAACTTAATTATATCTAAATAAAAACATATAAAAAGCTGCAAAAATACTTAATCAAGATACCAAAGAGCTGAAATAAAATGAAAAGCACGATAAATGTACCTAAAGCATAAATACATGTGAACTTTCAATAAACATTTAATAAAAAAAAACTTATTTAAACTAATACACGTGAACTTTCAATAACCATTTAATATAAAAGCTAAATTATGCCTAAACCTAAGTAGATTTACACGTAGGAAGCCCCTGCCGCCAGCTTCACTCTCCACTCTCTTTTTCAACTCTCTCCTTCACCATTTTTCTCGCCTGTGGAAGAACCACAAAGGCCAAACCAACCTTAATGCATCGGTTTACCCTCTAGACCATAAACCCGAAGCTAAATCTCGCTAAACCACCCACTAAACACCGTGAATGACCTTCAACCTTTCGTTTACTTCTATCTTCGGCGACCTACTACGGCGAGACTCTACTTCTCCGACAATCTAACAAGACCAAATTCCCAACTCCGGTAAGAACTCAAAACCTTCTCCTTCCTCTAATTTATTTTACTGATCGTCGTTTTAATCTCAGACTTACATGGTTTCATAACACTAACCCCAATCTTTATCTCCATCAATTTAACCCCGACCGACTAGGATGTAACTACCAAATCTACCGTCATCCACATCTAAGGTAATTTTCTAATTCTTTTCTCTGCTATTTTTTATGATTTGAAAGAAAAACCACAAGCCACGTATAACATTGCTGAGTATTTCGAAAAATAAAGAAAGTAACGAAAGTAACCTGCTTATGGATTGCTTATAATGCCTTCGAAAGAGATAGGGAAGACCCCTGTTATACTACTTCTTGATCTTTGAATACCGGAAAAAATGTTGTTTACACACTATTTTATCTGTTGCTCTGCTGTGTAAAACGAATGAAAAACAAAGAAAAAAAAATCTTTCGTGCTTCTCCTCTCTTGTCCCCGTTTCCAGTCGTTAATCCCCTCTAAAAAAAACTGACCCTCCCCCTTTACAGTTTCTTTCTAATAGATTAAGAAAACTGAAACCCCTTTTTTGTTAACTCCTGATAACTACTTTTAGTTTTCCAGTGAGTATTCACGTGGGCTTGAGTTGGGCCTCCAATTGCTCTGATTCGGGTCTGCTCCGATCTAGTCCCGGATAAAAACGAGTATCTACAGAACCTTCGCCATAATAACCATAATACAACATGCAACACAACAATTTGCAGCAGGTGGAAAGAATAACTTTAATATTAGGCTTAAACAAATCTAAAAGTAATGAATATCATTTAACATGGATTCAAACATCACATACAGTTTTTCTTTGCATCTTGTGCTAAATGCTTCAAATAGTTATAGAAATGTAAAATTTATACTTATAACAATAATGTTTCTTATGGATAAGCATATTAAATTTGAAAAGGTTAACAGAACAGAAAACCTGAGCTTTGACCGATAAATTCAGTTGCTTTGACTAAATCTCGAACACTTTCTAGTGCATTCATTATGTCCCTGAAATCAATTTTAGTTATATGGTAAGATATTAGACATTGGAAGTGACGCAAACAAGACTATAGAAATTGTTTTCACCCTGGAGTTTTGTGGATCCCTTGTTTCTGCATCATATACAGTAAAACATATAAAATTATTTTGTATTTTGTATATATAGAGAGAAAGAACTAAATTGTGTACTAGATATATGATTAAAGCTTCAATCAGAAGAAACTTTTGATGGACTAAATATCGGTGATGAATACGGTCCCACATGAAAAATAGAAAAATATACAAAAATGAAAATCTTCAAAAACCCTAACCAATATAGTAGAAGGGATGGATATAAGAGCCTGAATGTTTTAGCACATATTACACCATTATGGAATTCCTAATAGGGTTAATATCAAATGGTCAATCTAATTATAAAGCTACTAGAAAAAAAAATCACCCAAAAAGAGCTAGATTTCCCTTCATCATGACAAGTTGATCCAGTAACTGCTAGCAAGACTGAGAACAAAGGACTTTTTAAACTAGATGCTTAATAATTCTATTTTCTTAAAGCCTGAAGATGCTCTCTGCACAGTACAAGAACTGACCTTCAAAATAAGAAGGTTTATAGTTTCTTACCACAGTCATGGCAGACAAAACTTTGTTTCTTTCTTATCTGCAGTTTTAGTATTAGCAATACAGACATTAAGTTTCTGCATCTAAGCCTTTGGGGTAAGTTTAGGTTATTCTAGAACTTTGAATTTGCTTTTGAGTTCAAGATGGTTATGCACTTGTATGCCATTATTGTCCAATCAAAGCATAATCATCATTTGTAGGTTTAAGAGCATTCTAGGATATTTGTTTAATATTTTTTTCTGAAAATTAATGACTATTTAGGTATACGGACAGGAAGCATGGATGCTTTTTTTGCTCCTCTCCATTGACTTGTGTCTCTTGCTACAGTGTTCCTGATTAACAGTGAGTACCAGAAGGACAGCACCCAAAAGATTCGGTGTAGTTTTGAAGCAGGTCAAAGAATTCTGGAAAACTTAACCTTGGATCCCAGCACTCTCTTTGAGCAGTAATATCAATTCAGTCGCTCTTTTTTCTATCTACCTTAAATTTCCAGTTCTAACACTAGCCAACAATAAACATAAAAGTAGGCAGACTTCTAATGACTAACCTATGTCAACCTTTAATTTCCTTCTCTACCTCTCATATCCTATCACAGAGTTGATATAACAAAAAATATTTATGCGAACCATCAAGATTCAAAGCGAGTCAAAGCTTGAGCAACAATTATCAATTTGATAAGTACAGAAAATCTTACAAGTCTAAAGTCACAACAAACAACAATTATTTCACAAAGCTTCATTCTCTCATAAGAAGTAGCACAACTCTACATAAAAGGATTCCAATTTATCAGTTATTTGATTATTCTAGTTTCAACAACAATATGCAGGAAAGGAGAGGCAAATTAAAATCACCACATGCGGGATACAATTTAAATAGAAGATGACATACGGAAATGGTTAATCAATACTTCTAACAGTTTCGACAATTTTGGACTAGGTGCACCATGAGACAAACTCCGTTGCATTAAAAGCTTTGCATTCATTATATCTTCATTTTTACTCAACGTTCTCGAGAAAGGCCTGCAACAATCAATTCTGAACATAATAAAAAAAATGAACACATTCTGATTAACATAAAAACCAGTGAACATAAAGTAGATTCAAATCATATAAATGTGCTTGTGCTTGTCTGTTTGCATCTTCACATCTGTGCCTCCATGTTCAACTCCAACAACAATTAGCAGAAATCTATAACAAATCACAATTAGATTCTTCTATTTACCATTGGACAACATCAACTTTGGCCTTTCAATTTATAAGAATAAAAAAAAATAAACACTAAAAGTTCATTCTTAAAATACTGTTCATATATCTGCAAGCAACTCAAGCATACCTGTAGTTATCTGAAAATAGGTTACCAACATAAACTCTGATCAGAAAGCAAATTTTGTTTCAAAAAGGAACAGATGACACTCATTTGGTATTGAATACTAGTTTTTCCTAACCTCAGAAGCCTTTTACTAAATAGAATATAGTATAAAGAGTTCCATATTGTTCTCTTGAGAGAAAAAATATGCAGTCTAATTCTTCATATTGCTAAAACGGAAGTGATCAAACACATACCCTTGTCGCAACTTCTCCTCCAGCATCTCATATGCTGGTCTTATTCCATGGCTTGAAAGAAGCTTACGAATGTGGTAAAGTGTAATAAGAACAGCAAAATATGCTTCAACTTCTCCATACTTGATATGTGGAAGATCTGGGGGAGGTACTTGACGAAATTTATCCCTTGAATTAAGTAAATCTATTGGGCTTAACTATCAATGGAAATGTAAGAATAACAGGACAACAGCACTACGAAAATCGGAAATTAGAGCGCATCAGTCTAACACTATTTTTGAAGTTTATAAATTACAATTCCTTCTAAGAATTAATTAATAGGTATAGACAATTAGATTTTCAAATTCAGGGAAAAATAGAAATTGCAGAAAATTCACAAAATTTATAACTGCATAATGCAACAAAAAGAATCTGTGTACATCCTAGCAATACTCTAAGTCCCAGAAAGATGGTTCCAGCTCTAAGAACCACAAGTATTTTAAAAAGTACTCCTTAGCATTTGCATAAAATATTTTGCCTTGCTTCCTGTCCCATTCTTACGATTGTACCAAATTGTTACAATCACGTGTTTCAATTGATAGTTCCATAGACTAGTTTAGAGGAAATCCTAGACCTCTTAGGTTTTTCTTTCCTTAAAAGTCTGACTTGAATTTTATTGATATAATAAGCCTCTTTAAATAGAGGTTACATACTTGTGAAAATAAAAGTCCTACTAGGCAAGCAATCTCACTAAGACTACTAATAAATTGGATCCTAATAATGAAAAACTTCTAATAATAAACTGATTCCTAAAATAATTGACAGAAAACAGAGGAGAAACTGAAAAAACAGAAAGAAAAATAAAAACTGAAGTTCTTATTTTCTAATCTGTCGTAATAGTATACATATGTCCCCTGTTTAATACTTAGTAATTAACTCCTAATAAAATACTATACTGACAAAATTATTGGCCATTAAATCAGGACTTCTCTTCTTTGAAACTTTGAGGTGGAGATCTGAAGGTCGTTTGATAATAGAAAGTGATTGTAAGAATTGTGTGGAATGGAGCAGGAACATAGCTGAGTGCCCTAGTATCTATGCTACTATTACAAAGGAAATAGCTGACAAAATTAGAGACATAGAGGTTATTCTCCACTGGATTGAGAGAGCAGTAAATGTGGAAGCAGACGCTTTAGCTAAAGGAATTGGTTGAGATAGTGGTTTTTTGGCCTGGGGTAGGATGAGGTTAATAAGTCAGAATGTATGTAGTAAGGAATGTTGATGTATTAAGACCCCTTGTATTGATGTTTTTCTTTATCAATAAACTTTGAGGTACTCTTTTCCTCCTTCCGCTTTTTGCTAAAATACTTCCGGGTGTTTTAGCAATTATGAAGGGGGTTTTAATGAGACCTCCAATTTTTATAAAAAATAAAATAAAATACTATACTGGAAGATAAAGTTTATCCAAAGATAAAGATAATGACTCCTAACCTTAAAAGACTCCTAAAACAGTTCTGCCAGGCACTGGACAGGGGTTAGCTCGGTCAATGTGTAGAGCCAAGTGTAACGTGTAGTAGTAGGCACTTCTAGGCCCCTTCCCGGTTACTGGATCACTCCAGCGCTTTGGGTACTACGGACCCTCTGCCATCCATTGCAGCAGAGTCGTTTCATGAGCGGGGGGGCTAAGCCCAGTTCTTTGAATCAAACGTTGAATGAAATCAATTCTTTTTTAGATATCAAAATCGAAATCAGATAGGATAGATGGATGGATCTATCTTTCCTAAAATAATAATGATTATTTGATGCACTAACACCCAAATTGTTTCAGAAATGTGACCACATCATAAAGTGAATAATGAACTTTTTATAGTAGATTAAATTTTCATGGCAATGCAGTTAGTATCCATTTTTCCATTTGGCGGCGAGCAGAAAGATTCTAAAGTTCTAACAAGTAACACACTAACACATACACCCATGATAAGGTTTAGACTTAAAAGCTCAATAAGCTAAGATGAACTGATGATGAATTTTCAAAAAGAACCAAGATTTATAACATATGTGGAACCATACAGTCTGATAGTCTCTATTTTGAATAAGTCCATTGGCGTGAAGCCTGGCCACATAAGGACGAATTACTTCTAACAACTTATTATTCACCTCAAGCGCATCTTGCCCCAATGGAACCTAGAAATATGGCAAGGAATGTGTTACCTTCATTAGGAATAACAAACAAAATCAAAAGAGAAACTTTCAGATACCTCAATCAGTTCTATCTTTCTATTGTGAACATATGGACTGACATCATGGTCATGTTCATCACGATACTCAAGTGTTGATATACATATGTTGTTAATTATTTGGTGGATAGTGGGCTGCTTCGCTGAACAATGGAAACTAATGTAAGCATTTATGGTTACATGAAAAATTTTAAAACACAATAGGAAAACAGTAACTTACATCCCGGTGTTGCAGTCAAAGCTAATATTCTCAGCTGCACTGGCATTGACATTAACTACAAATTTAGAGTATCACTAACACCTTTAATAACTTGCCCCATGAATGTTGCCACCAATCGTATGCTCAAAATAAAAGGGAAGGAATACAGTTTAAAAGACTAGTGAGAAATGAAGAAGAAACCTCACGAACAGCCACACAATAGGAATAATTTCCCAATGCTCGATGAGCCTCATCAATCACCAAACAAACAATATACTTTGACAAACATGTGCCTGCAACAAATTACTTGATGAGAAAAACCAGAGAAGGAAGAATATCAGAATGACATTAAGTAGAACGGTAAAATTAAAAGGAACTCATATTCACAAGGTCACAGTTATTTGCTATCCAGCAATAACAATGAAACTACTTTAGAGAATTACCAGATTGAATGTCTTTCTCTAAAACTTGTGGGGTAACAAAGAAAACTCTTTTAGTCTTCCAAAATATTGCTCTTTTTGTTGGACATATCTGACCTGTCATATCAATTGTCCATTCCTGCAAATCAAATTGATCTAAATCTTCTCAAAACATGTAAATAATTGTGAAACTGCACCAGAGAGAGAGAGATGAGAGTATGACAAATTCCAAAAGAAATGTTGTTGTACCTGTGAAATTCCAACGATATTATGGCATGCTTCTATCTGCTGCATGACAAGTGGTCGAGAAGGAGCAGCAAAGACTATCTTCCCTGTAGAAGAAGATGAAATAGCCATCATAGTTTTAGAGGTGATAAGTTATTTGGAACTAAACTTAAGCATCTGAATTCAATGACATATCAAGTTACATTTTGTAAAACTAATTTAAAGTGAGATAAAAAAATTAAAGTTATGTGGCAGCAACTCTCAGATTCGTTATTTCACTGTGGAGGGGAAGGTCATAATTCTTATTGTCGTCCTTAAAGAAAGGTGAACCTAGCCAAGATGGAAAACAAGAAGAATGATATGTTAGACCCCATTTGGTTGTTCATGGGACTATTTTCCCTTTCCAACCAACATAAAAACAGGCAACAAAGACCATGGAGAAGATACGAGAGGACCTCGCAATGCAGTTAGATGAAAGAATCTAACATCAACATAGCTGCATAATGACTGGCCAAAGTTTTAAGATTACTAGATCTATCTTTCAATCAGCAAAGCTTTGTCATTCAAATGATTAAGAAAGTTACAGATTACAAAAATTATATAAACTTAATAGAGATTATGTTTTGCTTAGGCCGGATATTATGCATAAGTTAACAACAGCATCAGAAGAAGCAAAGAGACCACATATCATCATTAGCATAATTCTTCTCAAATTCCTACTTTTTTTGCAACAGACTAGGAGCCTGTCCCTCTATTTATATAAAAGATAGGCATCAGCCTCAAAAATTATTCATCCACTAAAGCATAAATAAATCATGAAGGGATTTAAATAATAGAGCTATATTAATGCTCATGACACAAACATTTACCTTCTGGAAACCATCTGAAGTAGTTAAAAATTACAACTGCGGCAATAAGTGTTTTTCCAAGGCCTGTTGGCAATGCCACCAATGTATTTAAAAATAGTGCTGTCTTGGTTATGGCAAATTGATAATCACGAAGAGGGATATTAACTGCACTAACAACGAAGGATAGAGGGGAACTTAGTGTTCTTATTGAATGCTTAAAAACAAAGTCTTAAAAGACACTTCAGTATCAGGGCATTTAGAAAATAAAATATATCTTCAAAATGGAAAGTAGATAAAACTTCAAAAAAAAATATTAGTGATTAAAATATATATACTATAATTTTCGGTCAATGCCTTATAGTTCATCAAACAGAACGGTGAGGTAAATTTCATCAATTTCAATTCACAAACCGAACTTGGTCCCTTCAAATAAAATTTGAGGTACCTCTTAAAGGACCACAAGGAGCATAACAGCTAGAAAAACTAAAAAATAACGCAATATTAGGGGAAAAGAAGAAATGTTTACCATCTGTACCATTTTTCTAACAAAAAAACTGACTTTGGTAACCACAACCTACCTACTTGACCAAATAGTAAAACGGAAAAAGTGGACAACTAATATGCTTTATGTTTCGTAAAAGTGACTTAAATCGGATATAACTTGCAGGACTGTACCGTACCTAAAGCAATAGCAAAGCAAGTAAAAATATAGCATGCAGATACTTGGGAATTGATTGCTGAAGTCTAAGTTTTGGAGTTTGACATGCTAGTAAAACTTAATACTTTATCCTCGTTATATAATCATTATTTCAACAGTTCAACAATCCACTAGGACCAGTATACTGCTATGATGATTAATAATAGTTAGACTTAGATCAGCCTTTAAAGAATCTAATAAATTGCTTCAGCAATCAGTACAAAAGAATACGAATTTCTTTTGAGCAAAACATGTGACAAGTCTCCGAACATCACCCTATGCAATTGCAAGTACAACAATATCAAGCTAACATATATAGCTATAAAGAGTGGCTTTAAAGAATTGCTCCTAAAACTGTTAATATTGACCCAATTCCCCTACACACACAAAAAACTGCAATAATAATATAGCAAATGGTTCGGCAAATACCACACAAATGAATCAAATTTTGATTGCCAAAAGACCCAATTCCCTAACACCAAAAATAAAAATAAAAATAACATAGCAAGCGGCAAAGGAAACAAAAGTTCTAAAGAAACTGCAACAAAAAAATATAATAAATTAAAACCTGGGTAGATCCAAGCTTTAGCAGCCTCGGCATCAATGTGAACGGATGACACTTGCTCAGCCTCAGCACCGACATAACTCTCAGCCGTCCGATTATATTCAGGAGGCCGGAGTCCCACCTTCCCAATAAATCTGTTGAGCGTGGATTGCTTTGAAGCGTTTTTCTTAGATGTATGGGATACAGTAGGTGGAGGAGCAAAATGAGAAGACGATGAAGTAGCAAAATTTCTGTCATCGCATGCCTTATCGATTTCTCTAACGGCTGCTTCCCAATCAAACTCCTACGTTAAAAATTAACACAAATCACTACCCACCAAGATGAATTAAACAAGAATAACCGGTACAAATCCAAGACTGAAAGGGAGTAACAACAACGGGATTACATCTTGGAAGTCACCATCGCCATCTTCGTCGATGATATGGAGAGGAATGTTTGAGGCCATGGGAACTGAAGTGAGTCTCTGCTTAAACCCATTTGAGAAATCAGAAATAAAGAAGATGAAAGAAATCGGATTTGGCGGCAAAACTTTGATGGGCTTTTTGGGTTTCGGCCGAAGAGAAGAAGATCTGAACGTTCTAGAGGATTGGGCCGACCCATTTGCTCATTTCTCTGCAGAAGTAAATCATTTTTTGATGAAAAACAAATATATTATTAAATTTTAAATTGCATACAAAAAAAGTTAGATAAGTAGAATTTGATAATATAAATTTTTCCGAGGAACACCTATACATTACTTCAACTTTTTAAATTTATATAGAAAAATAATATTTTTCTTTTTTCTTCAATAAACAATATTATATACAATTACTTAAAAGATATATATTATATATTTTTAAAACGAATATAGAAAAATAATGATCGGTCGAGTCGAGTCAAAAAATTTCAAGTTATTCGAGTTGACGAGTCTTATTTTAAACTAGAACTTGATTTGAAATTTTTTCGAGTCTAGTCTAGTCGAGCTGATTTTTCGAGTTTCTATTTAAATTTAATTGTAAATATTTATAATATTTATAGTATTATTTGATTCCAATTTAAGTGACTTTCTATAACCATATATACAATACAAATATATTTCTTCATTTTTTTCATACGTGATATACATACATCATATAAAGTCAAAGGACTCGAATCAAACTTGAAAATAAATCCAGTAGTTACTAAAAATTTCTAGTTATTTAAGTTGTATCTTACAACTCGATTTGAACTTAAAATATTTTTGAGTCGAGTCGAATAATGAAATTGAAACTCGAAATCAATTCGAATCAAAATTTTTCAAATCGAATTAAGTAAAAAATTTTGATTTTTCGTCGAATGAGTTTTCCTCACCTAAGAGCATCCAACAAGGGTCAACCTTTAGCCTACCGTGGTGAATTATATTCAACAGAAGTGGGAATCTTCCTAAACAGACCGCATACATCGGCGGAGCCACGTTTGGGTGTGGGTAGGCATGTGATCTGAATTCAAATTTTATTCGATTAATTATTTTTTATTAATAATATTTACTCTAAAATTTTTCATGTTTATCCTAAACTTCAAAATTTCTTTGATTAATTATTTATTTTATTGATGATACATAACCCTAAAATTTTATTTGTATGCTCTCCATTTAAAAATTTTACATTGTTAACATGTATGTGTTCATCATAAAAAATATTTATGGATCTATCACCGCATACATATGGTATATTTTACAAGCAAAATGTGAATTTGATATATATATCTTATTTTTCTTATACGATATAGACATAAACTTAAAAATTTTAGTACTTTATTATAAGGTTTAAAATCAAAATAAGTGTTCAAACTATATTATTCTTTTTGAATAGGTGTCTAAATTATTTTTTGACATTTTAAATATGTAACGTTACAAACGTTATCATTTTAAGTGTTTGAACGTGTCACAATTTAATAATTTTAAAAGTTTTATTTAAAAATTTTAAAATCAAATTATTATATTAAAAATATTTTTAAGAAAACCTCACCCCTTCCCCTCCCTCCCGTCCTCCTACCCCTCCCGTCCTCCTACCCCTCCCTTCCCCTTCTCTCTCCCTCGCGTCCGCTTCCTCCCTCCCTCGGCAGATTTGGATCTTGAAACAGTAGTTTTCTTAGCTTCATTACCGAGCCTAAAACAGAGCATTGAACAGAGCATAGAAAATATAAACAATAATTAAATTATCCCATGAAAATAAGGATCTTGTACGCATAGAGATGGGCATGGTCCCGAAAATTATAAATATCCAACTAATCCGAATCCGATTCGAAAAATTCATACATTTCACTCAACCTGATTTTTTTAGATAAAATTCGAACTTGATTCGACCCCAATCCAAAATAATATATTTTTAAAAATTATTGTTTTTATTTAATAAAAATAAAAATTTAATTGAACGAAAATAATATATAGAGGGTGTATTTTTGTAATAATCCTTAGATATATAAGATAAAATTATAATTTATTTTCAGAACAGGTCAGATCGGATATTTTTCACTCTAAACTCGACTCCGACCTGGTCTAAACTCAATTTTTTTTAAAAAAAATCTGATCCGATCAGATCAGAAACACTCGAATTCGCGTCCCATGCCATCCCTGTGTACACATAGAACATAGCATAATTACCGGTTTTCTTAACTTCATTTCTTTTCTCATATATGGCTGAAACAAAACTTTTGAAAGGGGTGCTATTCTTGTTTTCAAGTAAGTACCCAAAGAGCGTTCGCTAACTTTAATTCTTCACTGTAATATACGCCAACAAAATTCCCTACTGGGAAGATGAGTGTTATTTTTATCTCGATAGGGAAGAAATGGTCGTTCTATATTAAGAGGACACTCAACATAAGCTTCAATAAACTCAAACAAGTTGTTTATGTCCTTATCTAGTAAATTACTATACTAGACGGGTGTGTGATGGTGACCATTAGGTGGGTGGGTGATGGTGGCGGTGATGTTAGTCGGCAGCTTGTCGATTCAATAGAGACGTGGGGGAGGGAGGCTGGGTGTGGAGTGGGGGAGGGAGGCTGGGTGTGGAGTGGGGAATTGCAGAGGGAAGGGGACTGGAAGTAGGGGATGACGGGGATGTGGTGGGGGATTAGATTTGGAGTTTTTAAAGTTTGGAGGAGGATTTTAGGATTTTTGAAAAGTTTGAGCTTTTTAATATATATATATATATATATATATTTAATTTTTTTAATAAAATTTTAAAATTATCAGATTGTGACATGTATCACTTAATGAAAAAAATTAACGCCGTTAACAGCCCAGACACCTAAAATCAATGATAGAGCCGAGATTTTAGTTCAAGGTGAAGTATAATCAACAATAGAAAATTAGGGACAAAATCAAAATAAATCAAAATTTAAAGGTTTAAATTAGTAATTATCCCCAATTTTTAAATGGTAAACAAATTAGAGGTAGTTCCCCATGCCTATATGGCTCCGTCACTTCTTAAAGTAGTAAATTTTATAATGTTAAACACTTAAATAAATAAATAATTTAGACATTTATTAAAAAAAAAGTATAATTTAAATATTTATTTTGATATTAAGCCTTATTCTAAATGTCAAATTGAAGTAAAATTTTGTGCTCGGGAACCAATGTAGCCATTGAAGGATCTATAAGGTGGAAACCAGTGGCATGGATTCTCGCGACTTTTGGCGTTTTGCTAACTGCATGGTATTGGTCCCCCCTCCATCCCCAATATTAGTGGTAGGTCGAGCTTTGACTGACGTTGATTTTCAGATAGTTAAGTCCAACAAACGCCTTTATCTTTCTTTGTCTACCCAACTCCTCGTATTCCGCTAGGTATACATATTATTGGATATTTTGATTTATCCATGTGGATGGATAGGGGGTCGAACATAGGATGATTTTATGTTAAAGAATAAACCTATAAAATTGTGGGAGGAAAAATATATTATCAATTGAAAATATAATTTCTTTTATTTAAATTATATCATAATTTTAAATTTCTCCCTCGGTCCATCCCTGCACTACACATCATGTCGATATCACATGCAAACATATATGTTCTAGGACTACTTAATTGCAAAGAACATGAGTGCCGTAATGAACCAATGCTATCATTGGAGTTTCAATCAATATTAGCATTAAGAAATAGTCAAATTGCATGCTTGAATTCAATAAATGAAGATTATTTTCAGGTAATTCAATACATATGGATATGGCACCAGCCTCCATAAACTTAATTCCTTTAGTGTGTACTTGTAATGGAAAACAATGCATGAGCCAATCAGCCATGGCTGCAAAAGTGACTCCTTTTTGTTACCATTTTCGTGACTTAAAAAAACGTAACGTGAAAACAATGGCTGCAAGACTCGTACTGACACAGCGGAACCTTTTGAAGTCGGTCCTTTTGCCATGTTTGTGTTATTTCGTTTTTTGTTTGGACAGCTTTAGCAGGTCCAAGAAGATGATCTCTTTATCAATGGCTTCATCTGTTTGTCCTCCTCCAAAGAAATCATCCCCAAGTGCGATGGATCCTCCAGCATCATTTTTGCCACTAAATATCCAGCTATTGACCACGTCCGGAACTTCCTAGCCTGTTTACCGATAAATCTTCCAAGTTTGCCATCATAGTATTCTGGCCAGCCGTCTTTCAACAGGCGTGACTCGGCAAGGTCAATTGCACGTCTTGCAATTTGCGGCCTTCCCGTTTTTATGCATGCAGCCGTAAGCAACCACAGAAGCACTGCACGCAAAATAGGGAGAAATTGCAGGTTTACGGAAAAGGGCAATTTACAAATACAACAAACAGCAATATCCATGTTCATCCTTTCAAAACTTTATCAATAATCATTATTATGTTCTGATTGAGAGAACAAATATTAATTTCCTCTCTTATAAGATCAAAAGCACCAAAATGGAGATAGATTATAAAGCAAAGGCCTTACCTGGCCAAGATCCTCCATTGTGATAACTCCATCTCGTGTTCTTAGGATCACAACCAGTTACAATTCGCCATTCATGACTTTCAATTGCAGGATAAGCTATTTTTAGAGGCATTTCTCCAACAAGATCGTCCCAACGCTCCTCAATAAGGTCCATTATAGCCATTGATTGCTCCGGAGTTGCAAGAGAAGATAGAATTGCTATACAGTTACCCAAACAAAACCATCAGAAATCCATCATTGCCGGACTAACATTGCCGATAAAGTAGCCACCTCGTGTTGGCATAAAATCAAATACCCAGTCCGGGATAGAATCCGGAATAACATTAAACTTATTTACGGCGGTGTGAGAATACTCCTCAGTTTTATATCTATAAATATCGTTTAGTTGTTGGAAGTCAAGCCAAAAGTAACTCCGCATATGATAACTCAAAGCATGCAAACGCTTCACAATTCTTTCAATGCATTCTTTGCCTTCAGCATCATGCTTCAGCATTGATAGAGCACACCTCAATGCCATAAAGAAAAGTGCTTGAATTTTTTTTTGATAGGAATGGTAGGCCTCGTTAAAACCCCCTTCT